TCGGAATCGAATGCAAATTTCTGGATTCGCCCATCACTAGGAAAAGGTCATGTTCTATATGGCTTGGTATAATGGGGAAGCCATAAGAAGGAAAGGTTATGCGCATGCTCAGTAGCATGTGGTACAACTGTAAAGGACCAATATGGCTGAAGGAGAAGGAGAACCACAAGAAAAAACAGCAAAAGAAGCGAATGAAAGTGTGTAAAGTGCTCAATAAAGGTTAGCCTTCATTAGTGCTGATGAAATGGAAGAGATTAGTACAGGTTTCTAACCCTTAGACACTATTAGAGATATGAAGGTACTTACTGAATGGCGGTGTGGTGGTAGAAATGTTACCAGCATTAAAGAATATTCTTTAGATGTTCCTAGAGGTGCAGAATTCATCTTGAATTGACTGGTGGGAGCTACACTTGTTGATGAAAGGTCGTCGCGATGACTGAAATCATTCTGGAATATAATGGGCATGCAATTCAATCAATCTTTGCAGAAATAAAGATTACTATTATATCAGTTTATTTACAAAATCTTTTATTAATAAATTATTTTGCTATTTTACAAATGACCTTTTGTTATCATTGTTATCACAACTGAACAAGCCAAGCATTACTTCCGGTGAAATATATATATTGCACTGTCGGTGCCTTTAATCATAGCTATGTCACATCCTGGTAAATATGTATATTGCACCGGATGCATGTGATCGTCTACCAGATATAAATCCAACGCGGTGCCTTTCATCTTATGGCTTTCCATGATACAAATGCAAGATAGGCTATATGTAAAATTTGTGGATATAATTATTATAAAGGTAAGGATATGGAATTTTCAGTAAAATAATTATATGCAATGAAAATATTTAAGATTACAAACGCTGACAAAAGTTTTGTGCATGTCCTTTATAATTTTAATAGTGCAATACCATAATAGGGGCTACATATCACTGGAAATAAATTTTGCTAATTATTTTGCATTTTCATTAAATTCAAAAAAGAGGTGTGGCAAACTAGGAAAATGGCTGCAGAAAGCCTGGTGGTAAGATTTGCAAAAATTTATACCAACAAAATGGCAAATCCAAACAAATTTGCAAATTTTATCCCAACAAAATAAACCCCTATACAGTAATAGCTAACCTCCAGTACTTTCATCACTGATAGTTCTTGTTTTAATTTAATCGTTTCCTATTACAAGTACAATATAGCCAACCATCTGGTACACGAATGGCATACCTTCTCTTCAATACTAACAGCATCTCTTAGTTTATATTCAGCTTCTTTAAGCATAATATAAGACACAACCTAAAAATATATACATAAAACTTCAATGCAAAAATAATTATGTATTAAATTGCATGGGCATAATTATGATTTTTAAATGTACACTGACATCTGTATGTTGTAATGAATCTTGATCCTTTTCTTTCAGTTCCTGTGCAAATGAATGTAGTCAACTATTAATGCACAAAATATACATGAACATGTACCTTTTGTCTAACATCTTGTCTCCTCCATAATGTTAAGTTACCAATAGTCAGTTTCTTTAATCCTTGTCCCATTAGTATATGAATATTCTCTATCATCCTCAATACAGTAAACCCAACATCAGAGAAAGGAAAGGAGCAAGTGACAGATATTGAAGTGGAGGTTTCTATATACTTAATGACCAGTAGTTTACCAGATACTTTTGATAGTATATCCTTAATATCCTTCAGTACATGTTCCTCTGGCTCCCAATCAAAAATAAAAGTAACTGTTTCACATTGAAGATGAGAAATGGAAGCAAATCTTTCCTTTAAACAAAGATTGATGGAGAGTGACTTGCAGAATTCCTTTAACTCTGTTCTGTATGTCTCAATGCATCTGGTAGCTTCCATAATCTCCATTTCTTCCACTACAGTATGAAGGAGTTCAATATCAGTCAGTGAACACTCATTTTGGATAAGACGCAAGACACTAGAAATATTAGTACATTGCTCTACTTTTCGTCTAAGAATAGTGCCACAACAAGAAAGGAATTCTTTTATTTCTTCTAAAGGAGGAGATTTTCGCTTAATAATCTTGCCAACATTGTAAAACATCCTTCCATAAGACATTCTCATTGAGCTAAAGTTTGTCAGTAAGTCTTTAGGAACAGGAACATGTATTTTAACTATAAAAGATATTATTACTTCAGTAGTAAATGTAAATTGTTTTATATACCTTGAGGTAATAAAGTTTGAGATTGGGAAGAGGCAACTTTTGTATCAGATGTGTCTATAAATTAAAAATACTGGAATCTCATGTACAACGACATACAAATGTACCAGATTGTGGATTAGTTGGTATATTGGTTTCATCAGTACTTGCATTATCTAGTAATGAATGCATTATCATTTTATCAATAATTATAATTACTTATAAAAACTACACTATGGTCATCTTTAATAGTCTCAGGAACCACAGCCACTTCAGGAGTAGGAGAATACTTACCTAAACACATAATAAACAAACAGTTGTCATTAGTTACAAGAAGAAATGTCACTATACAAATCAAGGTACTCAACGGTAATGCCGTCTTACGAATAAATCTTTTTAATGATTAACGAATTGTATAGGAGTTGGATTAGCAATTAACCTTAACATTCTTATTATCATACTCACTAATATCATCCAGTATAGTTTGTCCTAGTGATACATTAGCATTTATTGTACATAATACATTAGCAAATGTATGTAAACTGTTGGGATCAGTTTGAACAGCTTCTTTGACACCAGTTAATAGAGCCTCACGTTGATTAGGAATAGAGGGACTAGCTGACACTACTCTACTAACTGCTTCTTGTGTTAACATACGTTCACCATAAAGTAACCAAGCAATACTAACAGAATCACAAAGAGACTGAGACAGGACAGTATGACAATCATTAAAAATATTAATAAGAACCTGATGTTCTATGATAGAAAATACAATGATTATAGTTACATACAGTTATGGTTGACTCACTTAACTTCTCGGCTACAGTAGTTTCATTCATAGATTGTAGAGCATCTGACAGTGAGTCCAAGTTGGCTCCTCCTCTACTGTCAACATTATCAGCTCTACTTAACCATTGGGAGAGGCACTCTGTCATACAACGAGATACATCATGAGGATGATTCTTTTCTATGACGTCCAGTGTACTCTTCCTTAGTCCTAGTCTCAGTCCAAGATCATACCAATTTACTTTAGGAAACCCACATCCCTTCAATAAGTCAAGAACATCAACAAGATCATCAACACCTACACATAAAAACAAAAATGAAGAAATCTTTATCATCATAAATGTATAAACTACTGATTACCTAAACAAGTTTGACTAGTAGCCATAGCAATGAATTAATCCTGTCCTGAGGCCAGGACCTCGCATTGAAATTTTCTTCCTTTAGTTTCCTCTTCTTTGCAGTTCTTTGCTAGTCTCGCCGTGAGACTAGTTCGTTGCTTCAATGCTTTTTGGGAATTTATAAATATAATTTTAAGGGCGTGGCTAAATGAAATAATTTTTATTTCAATTCTTATTATTAGAATACAAAATGTGTCATGAAACTGATGTCTGATGATGAACTTTGAGATAACAGATTTTACTAATGCCTCCCCGTGGGAAAGGTAAGTATCAGCTCCTTTATATAATTTATCAAACATTCTCTAGTTTTGTCTCCACCATTGAAGACATATTGCAACAGTGGGGCCTCACTGCATCCACTTATTCAGTAAGACATTAAGAGTCTCTCAGTCACTGTATCTCTTCTTAAAGGCAGATTCTGGTTATTGGCCACAGCATAGGAAGTCAGAGAAGTTCTCTTATGTTAGACATAATTTCATTGTTAGCCTCCACGTGTCTGGTGAGAAGAAACGACCGATATCCAAACAATGAGGTGATTGGTGGTAGTGGGTGTGGTTTGGTATAGATCAGGATTGGCCTGATGCTATGGTACATATGATGGATTCATCAAATGATTTCCCTCCAAGAGCTCATCATCATATCTCTAGATGGTAATAATTATTGTATAGTCGTATACATGTACATGTACTGGTACTTGTAATTATTATTTCTAATAATTTCAGGATGGTGACATTTGGTATACAACTCATTATTTTCTGATAATAATTTTTTGACTATGTGCATTCACAATTTGTTGTATATGTCTTTATTCATGTTCATTTACATGTACATTTAATAGCTTATATCAGGGTTTTCCACAAGATATTGGCATAGTGCACATAAAGTTTGTACTACAGTACAGGGTTCTTGGCCAAATTTTTTCAAAAATGACTAGGAGAGAATGTTAATTTTAAATTTTTTTCTGATACATGTACATGTTCTTATGGTTTGTAGCAAGTTTAAGCTGTTTCCAATCAAATTTGGATTTGTTATGAATTTTAAAAAATGCTCCAAATGCCATGAAAGCTCATAAAGCATGCATGCTGTTTATTTTGTACAATATTTGCATGTAGTTCATAATTATTATTCCAAATACAATCAATCATTAGGTATGGTGTTGATCAGTTTATATTGATATCTCCTGATGAGAAGA